GTCACGTTGCACGGTAGAAAACAAGGGATTTCTATTGGGCGGAACCCTCCTGGTCTCCTTGGAGACCAGCAGAAGGAGAAAAGCCATGGTTAATCTTAGCCCATGGGAAGCCTGGAGCTAAGTAGGGGGTGGTGGGTAACAACGGCTGTGAGCTCTGCCGAGGGAGGTACAGACACACCTGTGACTCATCCAAGAGCCGTGACTTCCATGTCTCACTGACTAAGGAGACTTGCAAGTCATCAAGCCTTTGAGATTCCGTTGCCTCATCTAAAAGTAGAAAAAAAAAAGCTACTTCTCGGTGCATCTTATGCTTTGATTATTAGCATTATTAAAGACGTCATTTTTCAGATGCTTGAATTTGGAAGGTTAAAGGACTGCAGAGATTTGGCGGTCATAAAACTAACATTTGATCTTTCTGAGTCTCATATGTAAAATGATACCTGACTCCAGACCAGCGGATGGAGTAACAGTTACATCACTGGACTCCCACGTAATTGATCGTGGTTCAAGTCCCAGATCTGGTGACTTAAAACTCAGGCTGAGCGCATGTGTGTCCTTGACCAAGATCCGGAAAGGGAAATGGAGGAGAAGGGATTATGGCATGGCCATCCCTTCTGGGGGGTGATTTCTTGCTTCCTGCCTCTCTGTCTCTCTCTGTTTCTCTGGTGAGCACACTTGTCCTATAGCAAAATCTTTCTCTCAAAAAAAAAAAGAAAGAAAGAAAAGAAAAGAAAATGATATCTGCCTCAAATAAGATCATGTATCTAACATGTCATTGGAGAATAAACACATTGATGCCCAGTAAACTTATCCTTTATACTTGTTCACTTTATAAGAGAGCATGATGCAAGGACTTCTAGAAAGCATGTGTTAGAGACAGAAAGCCTGGGCGGAATGCCCTGTTTGCCTCCATTTGACATGGGTGTAGTAAAAGACCGAGCTGGCTGGACACTTTAAATGAGGAGAGTAGTTCCATTGTGAGGAGTGGGTTTCGCAAAGGGCCTGGAGCACAGGAAGCTCTAAGAAACAGTGGCTCCTAGCTCCCTAAATTTCCATCAGGGGTCTGCATCTTGCGGTGTAGTTTATCGCGTCTGGTAACGGATTCTCTTAAGCCGAAAGTCTGGAAATACTGACTCGCTGAGTTCAGAGCGCTGTGCCAGAGGCAAAGCCTAACACTTCCCCAGACGGGAATCTAAATGAGAAGGTACAACAAAAACACCTCCTCTCTTGCTTGAAACACGAGCGGATGGGAACTGAGGGCTCCACGCACTGCCCGTTGCAGCGCTTGCTACGCCCAACGCTGGTGGTAATTACGGGTGTCTGCCGTCTCTGCGCTTTGTGGCAGCAGTCTGTCCGGGCGTCCTGAGAGTTAACTGTGGTGCCGTTCTGCTACTGAGAGCCACCCAGAGAAGCACTGCCTGGCAGTTTTTTTCTGTCCTCGATGTCTGAAATCCATTTATGAAGCCGAGACCAAACCCATAAGCACAAAGTAACCGTTAATGTCCTCTTTCCCCTCTAACTTAATGTGATTGTCAAGAACAGACACGCAGTGCGATTTAAGCCGAAGGGTTGCTGTCCAAAGAGGTGGAGTCTGACTAGCCAGTGTAACAGCCTGTCACAGTCCCTTGGTTGTGTACGGAGTCTACTTAGATGGATATATATTGCCGTGTTGTAAAGTGTACTTGAGTTTAAATTAAAAATTCAGAGGGTTTTCTGTAAGAACTTATCTTTTTTCCCTCTTAACTTTACTAAACAATCAACCCCTTCTCTGATTTTTTTTCTTAGCTAGAATTTAATTTACTCTCTTCTATTTCTGTGAGTTACATTGAAGTTTTGTTAGAACAACACAAAAAGCTGTCTGTCGTCAGGATATCTGATTTTTGGATCCTGAAAGTTCTACAGACATTTTACAGAGCTTATCACATCAGCAAGTCCTAACACTCTAATACTGCTGCAATGCGCATGGCAAAGGTAAGAAGATGTCAGTTTCCTTATTAGCATTGAATTCAGCACCTATTTAGCAGAATTGCCAAGTCCAAAATAAAACAAGACAAAGCATTGCTTAGCGATAACAAGGTAACTAGAACACTGGCTTTTACTTCAATGAGTAGAAGATTTTAATAACCCACAAGTGTAAGTGCTAGTAGAGGACTCGGTGAAACAGTGTTTTTGTTGTTGGCTCAGTGAATTATTTTTCCTCTAGGTTATCTATTATGAAAATACATATAAATAAGGTGTTAAAATGATATTCGATAAAGTGCATTGCAAATTAGATCATTTTAGGTCTAGAAATAGGGTTTTGTAAAGAAGTCAATAATTAGAAGGAAAATCATAAATTAAAGGGTAAATTTTGCTGATGAAATCAACAAAGCTGACAAGAACCAGAATCCCTCACGGCAGCGGGCACAGTTCAAGTCCCAGACACAGTGGCTTGAGAACCACACTGGGCACGTGTGTGTGCAGGCCCAGAACCTCAAGAGGAAAATGAACGAGAAGGGATTGTGGCAGGGCCCTCCCCCTTGGGAGTTACTCTCTCATTTTCTGTTTCTGTCATCAGTGAGTATACCCATTCTGTGGCAAAATTAAAAAAATAATTATTAAAAGAAAAAAAAAAGAAAAAGAAGAAAGAGAAGAAAGCAAGCTGATACCTGAAGTACAAGATGTGAGGCAAACAGTAAAATACACTATCACATATTAGTTAAATGATTACCTTATTAAATGCTTAAATAGACGGATAAATTTAATCCCTTTGATTTAGCAATCTGAGAATAAACTCACATTTACAAGAAGACAATTACTCATTCTATTTGTTTGTTTCTTGCTGTTGTATCCTGAAGATCAGACTTCCCCCCCAAAAAACTATTTAGAAGTTCATATACCAGGGCCAGCTGGTGGGGTAGTGGTTAAGGCCCTGGACCCCCACATGGTGCACCATGGTTCCAGTCCCAGATGACAGCTTGGTATAATGCTGGACTCATGTGCATGCATGCCCGAAATCCTGAGAGGAGACTAATCAAGAAGGGATGGCTGCATGGCCATCCTCCTTGGGGGTGATTTCTCACTTTCCTTCTCTCTCTCTGTCCCTCTCCAGCAAGTACCAGCACCCTATGGCAGAAAATAACCTAAAAAAAAAATCTTTCTCTCTCCTCCACAGAAGGAAAAAAATAAATACATTTTAAAAAATGCTCAGACCTTCATTTATTGGATCCTTTACACTATACTATAAGCCTTAACTGTCTATTCTGCAGTAGATGGTTTTACATTTGTACTGGGAACCCTGGCGGTCTGTACCGTGTTCCCCTACACCAGGGCCTGCCAAGGATTTTATTTGGGGGAAGGTTTCAGAAGACCTAGCAAGACTTCCCACTTCCCAATCCAATAAATCAATGAGAATTTCTGAGAAGTTGCCAAGAGTAATCAAGAAAGACGTTAATTTTTGTGGAGAACACTCACTGAAGAATAGCTTCACATCTAAGTCAATGGTGCAGAGTCTCATTATTTATTTAGGTTAATCTGGCAGCTATTCTCTGAAGAGCTCATTAGAGTAAACGATTTCAATACCATGTTCATTTACAGACTCATGCCATTCATTCTCAGGTATATTTTTGCATATTTCCCCGGTACACATCTCTTGACTCTAGTCACATCTGTCCACCTCTGGAACTACAGCCCAGATCAGGCATCAGTGAGAGAAGCCACCCGTGAACTGTTCCCGTCCTGCTCTGGCCTCCCACAGAGTCTCCGCTCCACAGTCCCATGGTGCCCCTGGGTGAACAGTTCTGCTAAGCTATAATTCGTACACCAGGCAGTTCAACAGTTGTTAGTACATTCAGCTAGGCAGTCACCACCAAAACTAATTTTAGAACATTTTTACTATCCCTCAAAATAGATTTTTTCAAACTCCAATTTATCTTTTAGTTTTGGTCACTTATGCTTTTGGTGTTATGGCTAAGAAGACTTTCTCTAACCAAATGTTCTAAAACATTAAGTGCTTTTATTTCATCTGTGTAATATAATATTTATCACTTAAAACGTCTACAAGTGTTTTGTAGCATATTCACAATGCAATGAGATTTTCATCGCTACGTAAAAAGTCCCATGTCTGTTCACAGTGAGTCCCAAATATGCCCTCCTTCCCGCCATCGGCTGCTCTACCATGGTCTTGCCTTTTTTGGACATTTCCTGTAAATGGAATCCTACAATATATGTGACCTTTTGTGTCTGACTTTCATTTACCCAAAGGTTTTGAAGTTTCATCCACGTTGTTGTGTATATTAATACTTCACTCTTTTTTATAGTTGAATAATAGTCTATTGTGTGGATAGACCACATTTTGTTTAATCCATTCATCTGCTGTAGATATTTGGATTATTTGCAAGTTTTGGCTACCCTGAATAATGCTATGTACATTTGCACACTCATTTTTGTGTGAACAGATTTTAGTTCTCTTGAATATATACTGAAGAGTGAAACTGCTAGATTGCATGCTAATTAGGTGTTTACCTTTTGAGAAACTACTTAAGTGTTTTCTATTTCTATCTTTTTGCTGAAACCATGCTGTTTTGATTACTCTAGCTTTGTAGGAAGTTTTGAAATCGGGAAATGTGAGTTCTGCAGCTTTTAGTTTTTAAGAGTTTGTTGTTCTAGGGCATGTGCTCACCAGAGAGACAGAGAGACAGAAAGTGAGAAGTTACCCCCAGGGGGATAGCCACACTACAATCCCTCCTACTCCATTCTCCTCTTGGGATTTTGACCACACACGCACATGTGCCAGACGTGAGTTTCAAGCTGCTGGGTCTGGGACTCCACCCAAGATCAACCACATGGGAATACCGTGCCTTAACTATGCCACCTGCCAGCCCCAAGTTCTACAACTTTTTATAAAAAGTTAGCCATGTATTTCTTCCATTAAAGAAAGAAAAATGTGTGTGTGTGTGTGTGTGTGTGTG